CTCTATAGTCTATATTACATAAATTATGAAAAAAGATCAGTATAGTAGAGGGACATCGTGGGCTCAGAATAGACCTCTTACACATATTGCTTGTTACCCTGGCAAGTACCCTTAAGCAAGTCTGTGCCCTGGGCATCTTTCTAAGACTGCAACCTTCAGAACAATTGCCGATTTGCTTGGATGGTTGAAGTTTTTGTACTCGTTATCCAGTCCGACTCTTCATGACCCCATTTGGAGTTTTCTTGGCAAAGATACTGGAGTGGTAGTTTGCCATTCCCTTCACCAGCTTATTTTACAGATGAGGAAACTGAGGCAAACAGGGTTAGGGCCTGTTGCCTAGGGCCACAAAGTTAGTGTCTGAGACAGGATTTGAATTTAGGTCTTCCTGACTCCAGGCCTAGTGCTCTATCCACTGTGCTACCTTACACTAATGAAATCACATGTTTGGACCAGTAAAAGAAGGAAGGAAACAAACATCTATTAAATACCTTCTATGTGCCAGGCACTGTGCTAAGTGCTTTACAAATATTACCTAATTTGGTTCTCACAACAACCCTGTGAGGTAAATGGTATTATCAACATTTTATAGATGAAGAAACTGAGGCAGGCAGAGGTTAAGGGACTTGCCATGAAGTGTCTGAAGTTGTATTTTAACTCAGATCTTCCAGACTCTAGGCTCAGAGCTCTATACACTGCATCATCTAGCTGCATCCTTATGCAATGTAATATATTATCTTATTTGATCCTCGCTACAACCCCACAGGGGCACTAAGGTGGTGCAGTGGATAGAGCACCAGACATAAAGTCAGGAAGGTCTGAAGTCAAACCCTTCTTCAGACAGTGAGGAAGGGCACATTAGCTGTATGACCCATGGCAAGTCACTTAACCCTGTTTGCCTCAGTTTCCTCATCTGTAAAATGAACTGGAGAAGGATATGGCAAATTACTTCAGTATCTTTGCCAAGAAAACCCCAGGTGGGGTCACAAAGAGTTAGACATGACTACAAATGATTGAACACCACCACATACAACCCCCAAAGGAAGATGGGACAGATATATTATTATTCCATTGAAAAAATAAGTAAACAAAAGTTAGATAACTCAATATCACACAGTCAGTTAGAAGAACCAGTAGGTGAATCTTGGTTTCTGAATCCAAATTCTTGTCCAGTATACCATCTTAGGCCTTCTGTGTTTTTCATTTTAAACAAAACTTAAAAAAATTTTTTTTGTTATTTAGTACTATGCTATGAATGTGTATGCACATGCATAAATGTGTGTGTGTGTGTGTGTGTGTGTGTGTGTGTGTGTGTGTGTGTGTATGTGTGCACGCACGTTTGACACTGTTTCTGATGAGTTGGGTAAAACTCTTCTCATCAATCTTTTTAAATGTTCCACTTGGGGTTATAACTATGAAGGTGGGATTTTTTCCTGTTATTATGCTCTCTTTTCTCCTCTCTGGCTTTTAGCCAGGTTTTTGCAGGTCACTACAATGTAATAGATTAATAAGCAAATTACTTTCCATTTTAGATTTGGGATGGCCTCTTCCCTTTATGATGTTATTATTATCAGAGGCTTTTCCTAAGAATTATTTTTAATCCTGATTGGATAATGTACAAAGCAAATTAAGTAGATATGAATATCTATTTCACCATGTGCCATGGAGGAAGAATGATTTAATGACAGAGCCTTTTAAAAATCAGTTTTAGGTTTTAAGGATATTTTGAAAATATTTAGAAAACCCAGGTTGAATATAGTAATTAGGATTTTTCACTAACTTGATAACATGAAAAATGAAGTATTCTACAATACAAAATAGTATGAAGTTGCACATATATCATTTTTTGGTGATATTTCCATCTGTATAATTGTAAGTTTCTTGAGAACAGATACTGATCCATTTTTCATCTCTGAATTTCTAGCACCTTGTACATAGTAGGTGCTTAATTAATGTTAATTGAACTTTCATTGAAAGATCACTTTCTGTATGCATTTCTCTAAAACAGCTTCTATTAAGCCTATTAGCACCTTCCCCTGCCCAACACTTTATCTTCTCAGGTGGGCTTTTCTATAAAATACATATAAACATTCATATTTGAAGACTTTTTCAGACTTCAAATAGGACAATACAATTAAATGGACCCTTTTTCTCTCTAGATTTTTTTTCCAAAAGGAATATTTTACAAGTTCCCAATGGCCATTATGATGTTCATAAGCAAAATCTAAGCAGTATTAGTGCCAGGTTTATTTTTCATTTGTTTATTTGTTTTGCAATCCCCTATACTGGGAAATACATCAAGGACTCTGACCTATTGTATACATTTTGAATGCAATCAAATTAGGAATATTTGATTAATTAATATTTTGTTTTCTTTGAATAAAAGAGCCCTAATTCTTTCTCTAGGACTTTGGTTGTTGACTTCCTGTGTCTAATGATTTTTAATCATTCACTCTTTTATATCAGAACAGAACATAGGAATTTTGTACTATTTTGTCTCTAGAAATAGTTCTATGAAACCCTTTATTGTTTTAATTTGTTATTATGTTATCTCTAGTTGGTTTATGCAAAGTGATAGCTCAGCCTGATAATGGTAAGAGATACTGGAACCCTGGAGAGCAATGGATACTGGTTGCAGCCTCCAGTCTTACTTTAACTCAACTCTACACAAAGTTGTCCATCTGAGGAATAGTGGACGTTATCAAATCTTCAGAGTGCTTCTTTGTTTCTCCCTCAGTAGATGGTAAATAAACAGGTGAGGGTATTTCAACTAGGGCCAGAAGCATTGCCCCATTCAGATGGGGCAACCAAGTTGATCCAGTACATTTTCAGCTCTGCTTCATATATGTATGTATGTGTGTATGTATGTATGTCTGTATGTATATACATACACATATATGCATGCATATACATATCTATCTATCTATCTGGCGGGAGAGACAGTGTGGTATAGTGGATATAAGACTAGTCTTGGAGTTTATAAGATCTGGATTCAAATCCTTCCTCTGACACATATTAGCTGGGTGACCATATCTCCAAATTCTCCCAGTTTTGTTACTCTGTCAAAAAAGGAAAATGCATGTCCTGGATAAAGCCATGAAGGCTCTTTGTTATGAAACAAGCTTTATAGATCTCCACTAACCACCTCTTTAAAGGTTCAGTGTAAAATAATCTCAGGAATTGAAGTATAGCTCATTAGCCTACAATTTGTAGACTTGATTTTCTTTCCTAATATTTGCCCTTCTCCAGTTCTCCAACTTCTCCCATTTCCTACACACTTTTGATATCACTGACAATGGCTTATCTGACAATTTGTTTTATTTTAATACTCAAGGATGAAGTTCATTTTGGTTAGGTGACTTGAATTCTCTGAGGGCAATTCCATCTATCCATTTCTTGTCCTTCACCATATCAACAGACTATTTCCTTGCCACTGACAGTATTCATAGGTTCAAACCATCAGGGAGGTTAAGTCACACAGGTAGTCAGCATTAAGGTGGGATTTGAATCCAGGTCCTCTGATTCCAGAGTCAGTGATCTTCCCACTGCTCCTCAATGGCACTGTTGTTGTGAGATATTTATTGAGGGCAGGAAACTGACATAATAGAAAGATCACTGAATTCAGAATCAGAGGTAATTTTATACCTAGGATCTAATGATCTAATTCCAACATTAAAAAAAATGGTTGGCCCAAATTCTTCCCTTAGAAATGGGCCCATCCACTTTATACTTGACCTGTGTGAGGAGGAGTCTGCTAGGAAGAGGGAGTTACTTCAATCAGAGATTTGCTCATCATAGAATCCCTGGTTTTCTTCAGAATTTCACTCAATTACCACCCCTTTCAGAAAACCTAACCCGACCCTTACTTTGAGTATATTTTGTATTTAATTTTCAATGTACATGTTATTATCTACTCCTCCATCCCTCACAGAAGATATGCTCCCTGAAAGCAGAGATCATTCTGTTTTTTTGTTTTTGTTTCATCCCTAGCTCCTAGCATAGTGCCTGGCACATAGTAGGTACTGAATAAATTCTTGTGTATTATTGAATCAAGTATTCGAATTCGTGACTTTCTTTTTACATAGAGGGCTCATCTTTTTCAAAATACTTTCCAGTGTGAAGATAGAATTCCATTGACCTGGATAGCTGTTCTGACATTTAGGCAGTGGCACTATTCTCAGTTTTGTGTTGTTGCTCTGTAGAATGGCAGTGAAAACAAACAAACAAACAAACAAACAGAAGGAAACTGATATAAAAACTAACAACAGCCCAAAGAAAAGTAACACATCAAATTTGTTTGAAAAGAAACAATATTTATTAAGAAATTATATGTTGAATTCTCCTACAGTCTCTGTGAACATGGACTCTTCCATGTCCATAGCACAAGACAATAGCTATGGCATCTGGAGAACACTTGGGATGCTCAGTAATGGAAAGCTCCTATGATCAGAAGATGAATGAAGTGTTAAATCTCATTTAAAATTTTGGATTTGGGAGAAAGAAGTGTCATTTTACTTGAGAGGAAATAGGGAAATCATTTGCACTGGTATGGCCATTTCTTAGAGTGATTCTGTACCTCTGACTGAGGCATCACTCAGAAAGATTGTTAATAATTGGCTTGTCCCTGACTAGGGAAGCTGAGCATGCTCATTTTAAAGACATTAGGTGAAAATGATAGGTTTTGAATGATTCATATCGTATTTGAAAAATTTGCATTCTTCAGCATTTCTAACAGTGCATATAGAGAACAGAAATATAACTTTGCCTTGGTATTTTATGCCTATGAACTGAAGTTATAACTGGAAAGTCTATAAACCAAAATTAATGAGAACTAGCATACAATATGTCTAATCATAACATGATATTATTAGAATTAAGCTTTAAACAGATAATTGCGATATCACCTGACTTTAAATATGATACACAGTAAAACATGCTAATCATAAAAATAGCTTTTACAAATATACATTTGTATACAGTGTCTCCCTTACCTTTTATATATGTCCTTCACATTATCATACAGTACACTGGCCTTTAAGACATCAAAATGAAAAAAAAAGAAAGACCAATAATTTGCCAGGAAAAAAACAAAACAAAACACAGTTACAATCTAAACCATAAAAAACTGACAATTGTACAGCTCAGAACATATAAGAAATGGAGTTTCTAAGGTAGAACAATATTGTCCATTTTGTTTACTTGACTTTTCATACAAATCTGATCGAGGATGTTGCTATCCAGTAAGAAACCGCAGTTCACATTTCTGGGGGAGGGTGGTCACAGTTTCTCTTTTATCATACACAGGCATCACATATGACTTCAGATCACTTTATCTGTAGAAACTGAGAGAAGATATATATGTGTTTAATATAAAACCTATGACTTTGTCTTAGTAGCACATATTCATATAGATTTGGTTTTAAGACTAAGTAAGGGAAAGATTGAAGTATGATGACTAGTTCATTTCTCATTTTTAGGATCCTCTGATATTGTCATTCAAAGTTATACATTCTGTTGGCTTGAAGATATTTTTTGAAAAGGAAAATCTCTGTTATATTCACTCATCACTTGTCTGACAATAATTTTGTCCATACAGGAGAATAGAAATTAGCAAAGCAATCCTAAAATTCTTTATATTTGGTTTTCTTCTGGCAATTAATAAACCTGATTTTCTGATTTAAGTATTGGAAATTATGATGACCTCTCAATTAGAGGGATTACAGAATTTAGAGCTAGAAAGGACCTTAAAGATCATGCAATCCGATTTCCTTATTTGACTTCTAAGAGAAATAATGCTGGAAAGGTTAAGAAAATTGCTCAAGTTCACAAAATTAGTAAGAAGTAAAGCCAGGACTTACACCCAGGTCTTCTAGATTCCAGGCAAAAATTTAGAATGTATAGGAAAGGGATGGTTAATAAACATCTAGAAAAAAAAGGGAGATCTCAAAGAATCTGTATGGCTTCATCAAGAAGAGGCCATACTGTATGGAAATCTATCTTACCCTACAGGAAAATAATGGGAGGGCAGATGAGTGGGGCAATGAGAAACAAACACTTCTGAGGAGGACAGGGTCAGAAGAGAGAATAGAATAGATGGGGGGGTGGTATAGGAAGAAGGGAAATATAGTTAGTTTTTCACAAAATGACTACTATGGAAGTGTTTTGCATGACTATACATGTATAATCTGTATCGAGTTACTTGTCTTCTCAATGAGGGTGGGTGGGGAGGGAGGAATGGAGGAAGGGAGAAAATTTGGAAACCAAAGTTTTAAAAACAAATGTTAAAAATTGTTTTCAAATGCAACTGGGAAATAAGATATACAGACAATGGGGCCTAGAAATCTATCCTGCCCTACAGGAAAATAGAAGGGGAAGGTGATAAGAGAAGGGTGTGGGGGGGTGATAGAAGGGAGGGCAGATTAGAAGAGGGGGTATTCAGAATGCATGCCATCTTGGGATAGGGGGAGGGATGAGATGGGGAGAAAATTTGGAACTTAAAATCTTGTGGAAGTGAATGTTCAAAACTAAAAATTAATTAATTACAATGAAAAATAAAATAAAATAAAAGATTAGAAAATTTTAAAAAAGAGGCCATACCCAATTAATCTCATTTCCTTTTCTGATAGAGAAGATTAGAGGAATGCTGCAGACAAATTATAGTTTATTGAGATTTTCAGCAAAGTTTTTGGCAAAATCTCTCATCCCATCTTCATAGAAAATATGCAAGGCAGTAGGATAAGTAGGTAGATTTGGAACTGGTTGTATGTTCATACCTAAAGAGAATCTATTAGTGGTTTGGGGGTCCACTTACAAGGAAGTTTCTACTGGAATTTCCAGGTGTCTATCTTTTGCCATGTATAATTTAACTTTTTAAAATTAAGGACTTGAATAAGGGCATGGATATAATGCTTACTTAATTTTCAGATGAAGTAAGGGACAACTAAAATGAGGGATGACAGAGGCATGATCCCAAAAAGATTTCAACAAGCTAGATAGAACATTGGGATGAATATAATACGATGAAATTTATTAAGAGCAAATGTAAAGTTTCGCCTTTGGTTTAAAAACATCACCTTCATAATTTTAAGGTGGAGAAGACATGGAAAAGAACTTAAAAAGATTGGGGGTTTTGTTGAACTGCAAGCAAACTCAGTGGAAGTAAACAGTGTGACGTGGTGCACACAAAAAAGCTGTTGCAATCTTTAGCCTTCATTAAAAGAGGTGTAGTATCTAGGACTAGGGAGGTGATATAATCTTCTGGCTGGCACTGCTTTTAGTTCTGGGGACTCTTTTCTACAGAGGACATTGACAAGCTAGAACATATCCAGAGTAAACACCATAAAGATGTAACACCTTAGGATCTCTCCATACAAACTTTATTGGAATGACCTTAGGATATTTAGCCAGGAAAAGAGATGACTTAGGCTGAGGACATAACAGCTGTGTTCAATTATTTTCAGGGCTATCAGATGGAAGAGGAATTAAACTTCTTTTCTTGATTATATAAGGCAGAAGTAAGAGCAATGAGTGGGCATCTGAGAGTGGTAGATTTAGGCTTGATCTAAGAAACATTTCCTTAATGATTAGAGCTATCTAAAAAACAAATTGAGAATGACTTTGGGCTGTCCCTTCACTGGAATTGTTTAAATAAAGGATAGATGGATGACTGCATCTTGCAAACATTGTAAGAAGAGGTGATTCTTGTTCAGATCTGGGTTAGATTAGATGGTCACTGTGTTCTCTTGTAACTTAAAGAATCTGTGATTTTATGTCAGCTCCTTTCTCCTTTTGCTGCTTTAAGAGGAATGGTTGTTTTTGTTTAGTCGTGTCCAATTTTTCAAGACCCCATTTGGGGTCTTCTTGGCAAAGATTCTGGAGTGGTTTGCCATTTCCTTCTCCAGGTCATTATGCATATGAGGAAATGGAGGCAAACAGTGTTAAGTGACTTGACCATGGTCACAAAGCTAGTAAGTGTCTGAGGAAGGATTTGAACTCAGGTCTTCCTGACTCCAGGCCCAGCATTCTACCCACTTCACCACCTAACTACCACAAAGAGGGGTGGCCAAGGGAACAATTTCTCCCCTCAATGGGCTTTGCTGAGTGTGGTGCTGAACCTTTTGGAGCTGGAATAGGACAGAGTGTTTCTAACACTGTTCCAATACCTTGAGTCCGCACTAATTAGGTGATTAGAAAGAAGTGACCTGGGGCAGCTAGGTGGCGCAGTAGATAGAGCACAGGCCCTGAAGTCAGGAAGACCTGAGTTCAAATCTTGCCTCAGACCAAACACTTGACACTTACTAGCTGTGTGACCCTGGGCAAGTCACTTAATCCCAATTGCCTAAAAATTTTTTAAAAAATTAAAAAATAAAGTAATTAAATTAGAATATCAAAAAAAAAATGACCTGAAAGTAGGGAAAGACAAATACTGTGGATAGGCCACAGATGGATTTTAAACCATAGATGTGTATTTGTGCAAATGTAGTCATATATATGTAAATGTAAATGTGTCTATACATACATACATACATATAAAGAAACAGTATGTATACACACACGCACACAAATATCTATGTCAAATCTTATACCTGGGTTTAAAAAAAAAATCACCTTTATATGTACCTAATATAAGAAGGCATGCTTGCATAGCCATTTATCCGAAAAAGATTTGGAGTTTTAAAGGACCACAGTCTCACTAAGAGTTAACAGTATGATTATATTAAGAAGCTAATATATTTTTGGATTGCATAAAGAGAGACATAATTCCCAGGAATAGGGAGGTGAGAGTTCCTCTTTAGTTTTTTGGGGACAGACACAGGGGTGGGGGACCTGTGGCCTCAGGACCACATGTGGCCTTCTAAGTCCTTTTGTGTGGTCTTTTGACTAAGTCAAAGTTTTACAGAATGAATCCTTTTATTAAGGAGATGTGTTCTGTGAAGTTTGGATTCAGTCACAGGGCTGCACTTGAAGAAACTGGACAGCATCAGGAGAGGGCAACCAGGATGGTGAATAATATTGAGTCCATGTCATATAATTCTTATTTGAAGTAATTGGAAAAGAGAAGATTCTTGGTGGGGAAGGGACATGATTGTTTTAGTCAATTATCTTAAGGGCTGTCTTGTGGAAGAGAAATTAGGCTTATTTTATTTGTCTTTAGAAGGCAGGGTTAGCAGTAATAGATGGCTTTGCTATTTTCTACCCAAATCACCTTGAGCAAGTCTTTCTGGGAAGGAAGGAAGGAAACAAGCATTTATTAAGTACCTACTATGTGTCAGGGCACTGTGTTAAACACTTTGCTAATATAATCTCATTTGATGCTCACAATAACCTTAGGAGGTAGGTGCTATTATTATAATCATTTTACAATTCAGGGAATTAAGGCAGAGGTTAAATGACTTGCCCAGGGTCACACAGTGAGTGTCTGAGGTCACATTTGGACTCAGGTCTTTTTGACTCCAGGCCCGGTGGCTACCAAGCTGCTTCCAGGAACTTAGGCCCTCATCTGTAAAATGAAAGAGACCAAAAGGCCTCTCTGGTGTCCTTTACAGGTCCAAGTCTATGATCCTCTGAAGTTGCAAAGGGGCAAGTCAGGATTGATGTCAGGAAAAACTTCCTTACAAGTAGAAGTGTCTAAAAGTGGAAGGGGCTCTCTTAAAAGGTAATGGCTTCCCTTTCATTAAAGGTCTTCTAGTAGAGGCTGGCTGACCACTTTTTAGGTATGTTATAGTAGGGACTGGACTAAAGGGTCACTGAGGGCCCTTCTCATACTAAATTCCATGATTCTGTGTGTATCATTTTATATCTGCTGAGAAGAGTAATTTTTAAAGAAACATTTACTTTTCAGAGTTATAATTTAAATGTGTCACATTGAATATGTGAGTATGTATATGTATATAAAGGCTTAATTAATTAGTTGTTTTCAAATGGAGGCCTGAACTTGTAGAAAACAGTTGTATAAACAACTTAATGTGTTAAAAAGACAAGTATCTTAAAATATCTCCAGCATTAATATAAATTTGCTCAAAATGAAAAGATGAGATTCACATATGGGCGAACATCCAGTTTATTCCAGTTCTTAGCACTGTGCCTGACACACAGTAAGTGTTAATAAATGCCTGATGATTAGTCTCAAATCATCATTAGTTTTGGTGTTGGGTCACTGGTATTTAGTTTTCATGGACATGCTAATCAGGTACAATAATTTCTTCCTTTGTACATTCAATGCACATAGGAAGAGATTTCAGTTCATTATATAACAGGTCATTTCTACTTTTCTGCCTTTTAAAATATGTTTTCTCATTCAAAATAAAAAGTTTTCAAAATTTTTATGAGATCCGTATTTGGA